GCCATAGGTAATGTTTTTCAAATTATCTTCAATTGCACAAGATTATGTCAGGTTCAATACTGTTTCAATTAGGAGTAGAGAAACGGTGAATAAATATTTACAGGTCACAAAACAAAACGGGAAAACCTGATACAAGCTAATCTCAACATAGTCGAGTAGGTACCCTATGATAAAATTCATAATAAACGAACACAGCACGGTCCGATTGACAGAAAACACATCTCTTCATCAAAGGAATTAGCGTCTTAAAGGATCTAATAATCCAGCGCGGGAGAAACGTTGCAGCGTGACAATAATAATTTTATATTTCAATATATGACCAGAACGTTTTCTGTATAAATCTGATTTGTACATAATTTCGCCAGGAATATGATGGTCAAGTACGTGCCTACGGGCCAAAACTCTTCGGTTCGAATCGTACTCCTACTTTTTTTTTTTTTTTTTTTCAAGTGATCGATTGAAAACAAATACTGCATTTACTGTTGAGGCAGATAATGATTCGCCATTTCAATGATGTCCTTATCAAGGATCGAACGTGCGCGGACTGCCATTCTAATGATTGAATTTTGAGATCATGTTCATTCTCAGGATGTATTGCAACATAAAATTTACAACAAATAAATGGAATGTGATGATGTGATCCAGAAAGAAAACTTCATGTAATATTGCCTTCGATATTAACCAATCAAAGCGAAGGTCAGCGCTACCCTATGGTTGCCAATGCTGTCTTCTAAGTTGGAATGGACTTTCCTCCCTATAATCATGACATTTCAATATCAAGTTGAAACGAAGATCAACGAAGAGTATCGATGATATACTAATATTGTCAAGGTTCAAGAACCCAGGATACTGACAAAAATGATGAAAATCGTCAATAAAGAAGCCGGACATGTTTGCTTCAAGACAAGGACCAGCCGTCTCAGTGAAGTTGGCCCTAATATCAAAACAACGTTTTTTTTATGAAATTTGTCATATCAGCGAAAGAGTATTGAAAACTAAAATGTATTTCTGATATTTTCATTTAATATTAGCCTAAAATACTACATATTTTGTAGCAGAGACGAATTAAAAAAACGCCGATTAATAAAAATGGACGAAACATCGCCTTTGCGACTGATTACTGCTTCAATACGTCTTGACATGGAGGTAACTATTGACAAACTGTGTAAAACTGTTTCAGATTTCTTGGAGACGTGTTCGCAATTCTGGAACGGTTCTTGTGGGATTCGATCGGAGCTTTTTTCTTCATGATATGCCACAAGGTTTCAATCGGACATAGATTTGGACAACTAGACGTCCCTTATAAAACTGGAAAATTGTTTCCTATCTATCAACCAATCTTTTACTTTTTTAGCCGTATGGCAAGCGGCACCATCTTGTTGGAAAATACATTCAATTGGTATTGTTTGAACGCATTTGTTCAATTTTGGGCGTTGGGCAACTTTACTGAGACACGGCTCGTATTTCTCCTATGGGTGGATTCGATGAAAAACCCTACCTTTTGCACGTTCGGCTGCCTGCGCTGCCTCAACGACTGCTGGAACTCGCTCCAACAGGGCGGCACCACTACGCAGTACCCCGTCTTGAGCACGTCGAACTCGCACAGCGCATAGAAGCCCCTCAAATCGGACAGCGAGACGACGGCGGGCGGCTTCTTGAAGTACCTAATAATAATAATAATAATAAACCCTATTTTTCTTTCGATAGCTGCAGAAATGGTCAACAGAAGAAAATAGTGAACTCTTATTGTATTCTCCAGTTCAATAATATTAGGAGAGCCGGCTGCAGATTTCTACCGTCATCTGATAACGGAATGATAAATGTCCCAAAGGAATCCACGGCTCAGCGATTTATTTGCTCCTGTTTTTTCCGGACATACTTCCAAACGAAAAAGATCATCTCAAGAGAAAATTGCTGATAAAATCTGAATCAGAAATTGTGATAAGTGTACTTCAAGTTCTCATTGAAGGTCTCAGTCAGTGCTTACCAATCTATATTATATTCGTATCGTACCATATAATGACTATACTTACTTATTTTTTGAATATACTTTTGTCTTTTCGGTTTTTTTTTTCATTTCTCGATGAGAGACAAATAAGGGACCACATATTTTTCAAGTGTCAACCAGCCATTTCAATAATCCATTGATACTATTTACTTACAAAAAACAACTGTACACTAACCTAGTGATGGTGATATCCACCACAAAAACTACTGGAATATATCTGTTGAGCAACTACTATAAGATATTCAAAAATAGATTGAACGATGGTAAATTGAGAGTAAAAATGTAAATAAGAACCCACTGAAGAGGTAATTCAAATCTTCGCTCACTAATTTGCCTCCTAATGGCGGATGGGCGGAGCTTATTAACCTATTGTTGCCGCTGTCTTGTATACAGTCACTATACTAGAGTGAGTAGATTAAATGAAGTGACAATAGGGAGATGGCTCCCGTTTCCGGAATGTCAATGATCAAGTCACTAAATAGCTAAAAATCTGAAGGGTATCTCCCATTCAATAATGAATTTGCGCCTTCGAAGTGCCCACCTGATGTTTGGTATAGATATTCGATTCTTTCGTTTAATCATCTAAATAATCTGAGACTTACGAGTCCCGAAAGACGGATTCTAATAGTTAATATCCAAGGTACCGACTTATAGAGTGTCATGTCTGATTGTTGGGTGTTTTGTGTCCAAAGAGCAGAAACATAGAGATATAAAATGCGTAAAACCATATATCTACTATTTCTATATATGGCGCGTCGCATCGCCTATACGATATCTCAACAAAAATGGGACCATAATGAGAGGTACTTTTTGAATCCATAAGGACGGAAAGTAAAGGATGGAAACTGGTGACGTGAGGATCAGATTTCAAGTTAGGTTAGGTTCCTAAATAAATATGTGATCATAATAAAATATTAAAAATCGTCTATTGTTGATAATACCACAGTATAATACCGTCAACTTCGATAAAATATAGCAAAACATGTCAGCAACTTTGAGGAACAGGAAAGAGCCATTGCAGATGATATGAAATGAACTGCGATAATGATTCAGTTCACACCCTTTAATCCAACATTATTGTTTCAGATCTTGGTATTGAATATTGAATATTAAAGTTAGGGTTAACCTAGGTATATGTATTTTTTCTCAATGTGGTGAAAGTGATCTACTCAAATCTGTTTAGCGTGATAGGACTACACTACAATACTTGAAATTTACTGATTCAAACTTAAATACTGCATTTTGTTTTCGAAAAAGTGCAGTCCATGAAAAATAAACGAAAACACAAACACTAAAGAATTGTACAACTAAAAACGCAAATATTCAAATTTCAATCACATACGCAATAAAACCAAATTTAAAAATTTGAAATTCGTAGCCATATTGGTTCAACAAGTTTCGTATAATTTTTCCCTACGTCGGCACCAACGCCTATTGGTCAATTCTGTTACCTGTAGAGACAGAAGTTGGTCCCGCTTTGAGGACAGCTATTCTTAATATATAGAGTAGTAGATATATGCGTAGAACTGAATGGAGAAAACAAGACAAGTGGATGCAACGCCATATTAGAGATCTGACCAATCAAAAAGTGTACTACTATTGCGGTCACTCTATTTATAAAGTCACTCCAGACTATACTATAGACTGCTCTTGGCAGAAATATTGTCATAGTTTTCGTCTGATACCTCGTGTGCTCCGAGCTGTCCGACGCGTCCGGCTGTGGCGGCGCGCCATCGGGACGGTCAGCGTGGACGCCGAATAGGTCGTCCTCCTCGTGGTCGTCGCTGGACTCGTTGTCGGTGTTGGTGAGCGCGTAGAAGTGCAGCGAGCCCTTCCTCGTCGACGCGCACAATCTGTCGAGGCCTGAAAGGCAATAGATACGATAGTTTTCCTACCACTAGCTATGAAACCAACCAAAGTTTTGAATTATAAGAGCTTGACGAAGAGAGGAATATTGAGTTCGTAGAAAGATTAGAGTATGTAACGCGTTTATAGACACTCGTTTATTTAACACTTCTCACTAAAAGGAACGTTGACAACACTCATCACATAATATACTAATATTTTTATGAACATGGAAATAACACCCCGAAAACTCAAGGGATAAGATGAGTTCCAATAGGCGACAGAAACGAAGGCGTCGTCCTCGATCTTGGCGAAGCAGATCATAGCTAGGAGGAATAGCAAGTAGGTTAGGCTGATATTTGAATTATGGGAGCTTGTCGAAGAGAGGAATATTGAATTATTTTTAGAAACATAGAAAGAACACCCCGAAAACTCCAGAGATAAGGCAAGTTTATTTTATTTTATTTATTTATTTATTTCAACGGTTACACCATTTTTATAAAAAAAAAAAATTACAACGAAAATATGAATAATAATAGTAGGAGCAATGAAAATTACACTCATAGAAATGTAGCACTTATTATATTAATCAGGTATTCCTAATTGTTTTCACAACATTAGTTTTGAATTTACCTAGACTGCAACAGAATAGGTCACAATGATTTTGAAGAACAACATAATTCGTTGAGTGAAAAGTCAATGAAAATAAAGGAGGATTTCTTGTTCTGGTCAATGTATTAAATCTAATCAAACTAAGCAGATCTGGAGAATTAATAAGGCCATTGACCAATTTATATAGGAAACACATATCCAACACTAATCTACGATTTTCTAAAGTTAGTAGATTAAGCTCTATTAAGATATCTGGGTAGTTTATATGAGCAACATGATAACTCTTGCGATATGAATATGTTCTCAGGAACCTTTTTTGAATTCGCTCTAAACTATCAATATGTATTTGATAAAAAGGCCTCCAAATGATGGAACCATACTCAAGTGAAGGTCTAACCAGATGGCAATAAAGTGAACTAAGTGTTTCAGGAGAGAATTGTTTACTGTTCCTAGTAATAAAACCTAAGTTCCTTGATGCAGTGTTCACTACCTTAGTAATATGACTTCTAAAAGTTAGTTTAATATCGAATATTATGCCTAAGTCCTTTATCTCATTGACTCTCTTCAATACAGAGTTATTAATTCTATAAGCGTTTTCAATATAATTATGACCCATTGAGAAAGTGATACAAAAACACTTTGAAATATTGAGGTCCAAGTAATTAACTCTAGACCAGACATGGAAGTTATTCAAATCTTTCTTTATATATTTTGAAGTCATCAGCATATAATGTAAAAACAGAGTGAAAAATATATTTGCTAATATCGTTGACAAACAAATTGAAAAGTAACGGTCCACAATGAGAGCCTTGAGGAACTCCTGACAGTACTGGAATTACGTTAGATAAAAAACTTTTGATCCTCACCTGCTGTTGACGACCAACTAAGAAACTTTCAATCCATGCTACCAAACCAAGATTTATACCCATATCACTAAGTTTTGCTATTAATAAAGTATGACTCACCCTGTCAAACGCCTTTGAAAAATCGGTATAGATACTATCAACTTGGGTCTTATTCTCAAAGGCGTTCAACAGGAAGTTCTAATAAGTTCGACGCACTGTTCCAATAGGCGACAGAAACGAAGGCGTCGTCCTCGATCTGGGCGAAGCAGATCATAGCTAGGAGTAGCGAGTAGGTTAGGCTGATATTTTAATTATGGGAGCTTGTGGAAGAGAGGAATATTGAATTATTTTTAGAAACATAGAAAGAACACCCCGAAAACTCAAGAGATAAGACAAGTTCGACGCACTGTTCCAATAGGCGACAGAAACGAAGGCGTCATCCTCGATCTTGGCGAAGCAGATCATAGCTAGGAGGAATAGCAAGTAGGTTAGGCTGATATTTGAATTATGGGAGCTTGTCGAAGAGGAATATTGAATTATTTTTAGAAGCATAGAAAGAACACCCCGAAAACTCCAGAGATAAGGCAAGTTCGACTCACTGTTCCAATAGGCGACAGAAACGAAGGCGTCGTCCTCGATCTGGGCGAAGCAGATCATAGCTAGGAGGAATAGCAAGTAGGTTAGGCTGATATTTGAATTATGGGAGCTTGTCGAAGAGAGGAATATTGAATTATTTTTAGAAACATAGAAGAACACCCCGAAAACTCCAGAGATAAGACAAGTTCGACTCACTGTTCCCATAGGCGACAGAAACGAATGCGTCGTACTCGATCTGGGCGAAGTAGATCATAGCTAGGAGGAGTAGCGAGTAGGTTAGGCTGATATTTTAATTATGGGAGCTTGTCGAAGAGAGGAATATTGAATTATTTTTAGAAACATAGAAAGAACACCCCGAAAACTCCAGAGATAAGGCAAGTTCGACTCACTGTTCCAATAGGCGACAGAAACGAAGGCGTCGTCCTCGATCTTGGCGAAGCAGATCATAGCTAGGAGGAATAGCAAGTAGGTTAGGCTGATATTTGAATTATGGGAGCTTGTCGAAGAGAGGAATATTGAATTATTTTTAGAAACATAGAAAGAACACCCCGAAAACTCCAGAGATAAGGCAAGTTCGACTCACTGTTCCAATAGGCGACAGAAACGAAGGCGTCGTCCTCGATCTTGGCGAAGCAGATCATAGCTAGGAGGAATAGCAAGTAGGTTAGGCTGATATTTTAATTATGGGAGCTTGTCGAAGAGAGCAATATTGAATTATTTTTAGAAACATAGAAAGAACACCCCGAAAACTCCAGAGATAAGGCAAGTTCGACTCACTGTTCCAATAGGCGACAGAAACGAAGGCGTCGTCCTCGATCTGGGCGAAGCAGATCATAGCTAGGAGGAGTAGCGAGTAGGTTAGGCTGATATTTTAATTATGGGAGCTTGTCGAAGAGAGGAATATTGAATTATTTTTGGAAACATAGAAAGAACACCCCGAAAACTCCAGAGATAAGGCAAGTTCGACTCACTGTTCCAATAGGCGACAGAAACGAAGGCGTCGTCCTCGATCTTGGCGAAGCAGATCGTAGCTAGGAGGAGTAGCAAGTAGGTTAGACTAATATTTGAATTATGAGAGCTTGTTGAAGAGAGGAATTTTGAGTTCATAGAAAGCGTTTATTAAACAGTCGTAACTAAAAAGACATTAATAAAACGTATTACATAATAAACTATTATTTTAGAAACATGGATACCGAAAACTCAAGAGATAAGACAAGTTCGACGTACTGTTACAATAGGCGACAGAAACGAAGGCGTCGTCCTCGATCTTGACGAAGCAGATGAAAGCTAGGAGCAGGAGTAGCAAGTAGGCTAGGCTAATGTTTCGTCGAAGAGAGGAATATTGAGTTCGTAGGAGTATATAACACGTTTATAGACACTTGTGTATTAAAAACTCGTTATTAAATGGACGTTAATAACATTCACTACATAATATACTATTATTTTTAAAAACATGGAAATAACACCCCGAAAACTCAAGAGATAAGACAAGTTCGACTTACTGTTACAATAGGCGACAGATACGAAGGCGTCGTCCTCGATCTTGGCGAAGCAGATTGTTCGCAGGCCGGCCAGGCCGATGATGCGCACCGTCCCGTCGGCGCACACCATCGCCGCGTTGCCCTCGGCGTCGCACCGCCGCTCCGCGGTAGCCCCGAGCCGGTCGATGGCCGGCAACAGGCTCATCGCCACCGGCCGTTCGGGTCCTGTCAGCTCGCGCATCAGCACCGGCTCCTCTGCCACCTGAAACATGCACGCCAATGGATTATGCAAAAAGAGAAGCTCTTTTTTAGGACCTATACTATATTTACTTCATGTTCAAAATATAAGTGAAATTGGTCTAGTGAGTAAATATACCATGTATACAGATGATACAGTACTTTTATATGAAAGCAAGAATCCTTCAAATTTAGAAAATATGATAAATGAAGACTTGAAAATATTTGAAAAATGGCTACACTCTAACCTAAAAAGTTTACCTCAACCTTAAAATAAAAAATGAACTCTTAAAACAAACTGACCAGATAAAATATCTTGGTATTTGGTTTGATGCCAGGTGGACGCGGGACAAACATATTGATGTTTTGACAAAGAAAATCTCCACTTATTGGTGCATTGAGAAGATGTCCCAAACTTGATATTAAAATTGCAAACATGATTCTCTACTCTCATATACTCGTCGTCGTATCAACTATTTGATAAATGTTTGGGGATCTTGTTCAAAAAATGATATCAATAAAATATCAACATTACATGGAAAATCGTTAAAAGTACAGTATCGATTCCCATTTGATACACCAACCAATCAATTGTATGAAATAACAAATACGTATTCTTCAGATGAAATATATAGAATTGAATCCCTTAAAATTTCATATAATATTATAAATAAAAACCTGATGTCCAATATTATTTTGATACGGAATTCTGAAATTCATAATCATGAAACTAGACAATATAACTTGTTTCATTTTGACGCCGCTAGCTCCATAATTGGACAAAAAAGATTCACTCATTCAGCCTTAACTGAATTCAATAAACTACCTGGCAATATAAAAAATTGCAGAAATATAGGTACATTCAAAAATGAAGTAAAAAAACTGATTATTTCTGAACGACCTGGATAACATTAATCATGTTATTTCACTATGTTTTGATTGATTGATTGTCTTCATTACCCCAAGAAACATAGTTGCTTATAATAGGGATACATAAACAATATACGTAATGTTATACATACAATTATGAAATTATAATAAGATATAACAAGTTAAAAAAAAATGCAAAAAATCATGCAATATCAACCTAGTCTTTTATAAGTAGGTATTCAAATAAGAAATGGAATTATCAAAGTCTCTGAAGCAGATATTTTTTTAAGTTAATTTTGAATCTAGTTGCTTCCTGTATATTCCTCAATTGACTTGGTAATGAGTTGTATAGAACGATTCCTGTGTGAAAAATTGATTGTTTGCCGATATTTGACTTGAACATATTTGCTATTATTAAATTTGATTGTCTTGTTCCATGATTATGTAATGAATTGATTTCATTGAAATTTAAATTCGAAATTTTCAATTTGATTGAATAAAACAACATATTTTAAGTTTATATAGTGATGTCAGATCTAATAAATCTCTAGGTTTGTATAAATTCATGGTTGGTTCGAGAAAATTTAAATTGAAAATGCACTTCAATGTTTTATTTTGTAATTTCATTAGTGGACTCAAAATATTCTTTGTTTGCCAATTTATAGTTCAACGCCTTGTACCAACTCAACGAGACGATTTTGGATATGTAAGTTGGCCTGAATTAACTTGTTTTCATCTCAGGAGTCCACAGTCCAAACTTTTACAGACACCCTGTATATTTACCCACCTTCACCATTTTGTCGCCGAAGTCCAGGGCGTACAGGATGAGGAAGCTCTCGGCTGTCTCGGCGCCCTTGAGCACGAGCAACACGTGCTTCTGGTCGGCGGTCGGAAGGATATCGGAGATCTCCAGGTCGTGGCAATTGGCGCACTGGGCAGGCAGGCTAACGCACTGAACGGCGCGAGAGTAGTTGAGTTTTTTGCTCGACTGATTGTTCTTCACCTGAAGCCAAGAAAGAATTGTTGTTTCAATTCGGCCGCTACTTGATGGAAATAATGATAATAAACGTTTATTCATTTGGTTCATTCCTACTCATTCATTGGTATTATAGTTTAGAAAATCGTAGATTAGTGTTGGATATGTGTTTCCTACTTAAATTGGTCAGTGGCCTTATTAATCCTCCAGATCTACTCAGTTTGATTAGATTCAATACTTCGGCCAGAACAACGAATTAAGGCAACAATAACTCTATTTCAAGGCTTCAAAGGAATTATGTTGTTCCTCAAAATCATTGTGACCTATTCTGTGGCAGTCTAATTAAATTCAAAACTTATGTTGTGAAAATATTTATGAATACCTAGTTAATGTAATGAGTATACCTTAAGTGCTATTTTTCTATGAGTGTAATTTTCATTGCTCCTATTATTATTCCTTAACAGAACGGATTGTAGATAGATAATATAAAATTAATTATGTTATATAATATATACACAACGGATTCAAACTATAAATCAGCAGCGAAAATAGTTTTATTAACCAGCAGAACACAATTACCTACTTATGACCTCGAAAATAACTGTAAAACAGAAAAATGGGTGCACACACAGTATTACAAATACCATTGTGCACCTAAAAATATCAGCAGTAATGTAATGCTTAGCCTGTTATGATGATTTAATTTAATAGATGTAAGAATAGCCTTAGTTCTCTGTGATAACTTGAAACTCCAACTGTATAACTTCAACTACAACATAAATAACATTAGTATTATCTCAGAAACCTGTAACATGTACCTGCTAATAAACTATTATTATTATTATTATATTCTGATTAGTGATCTGGCGGGTGATATGCGAGTGAGTTCTGTAAGATTTTAAGCAGGGTATTTTGGATTGTAACCACGTTCCACAAAGTTGTTTTGAATGTTCCACCCCAAATAACAATACAGTAGCGAATGATAGATTCAGATAAGGCACTATAGATCATCATGAGTTTTTTTATTCAAAATATTCCTGAGCTGGTAATATTTGTGGATCAGTTTACGTAAGCTTTTCGTGGTATAGGTAATAGTTCGCGTGCACGATGACCGACCCTGGAGGCAAAATATTGAAACACAACCTCATTCTTCTGTGAATTATTGAAACACAACCTCACTTTTTTATTTGGTGACAGAGGAATCAAAGGATTGAAATAGTTTTTCACAATATTTTGGCATACGAATCGTGTTTCTTGCGTTATTCATTAATTCAAGCATGCCTTCGCATTGTGTTGTTGTACAATGCACAAAAAATGCAGCAAGAGACTAGGGAATATGATTTTTCAGGTAAATAGTAATCTCACATAGTTATCATTCATGAAATGTTGTCATTCCTTATTAAAATTCCTTCTGCCTTCTGCCACTTCTGCAATACAAGCTAATACTGCTAATAGATTGAAAATGTCTACAACACACACGATCGTCAGCATGTCAGACCAGTCCTCCCGATTGATTGCATGAATCCAATCTTCTTGCATTATTTTAGAAATTCCAGGTGTATTTCTATTAGCTCCTATCGCAGAAGGAATTCCGATGAGAAATCAGAGAAATTACCAAATTTCAAAAATGAAAACTATAGGTGAGTGACTATAGTAGGTAGGTACTTACTTTTAAATCATAATGTACCATCCGGATTCCTTCATCTTCCGCTGCAGTTTTTGTGCATTTTACAACAGCACAATGTGATGGCATGAGCGCATTGATGAATAGCCAAAAAACACGATTCATATGCCAAATTGATTGTGAAAAACTATTTCAATCACTTGAAAACAAATAAGAAGAGTGAGGTTGTGTTTCAATGTTTCACCTCCAGGGTCGGTCATCTGACAGTTCTTGCACGCAACCCATATGCTCATTCCAGCGCAGAAATTGGTCAATCATTACCCCCAAATATTTGATCGATTGAGATTTATTCACAGAGGGGCATTGACAGTTGGTAGACAGGCAGACTGGAACCCACCTCGGTGATGTGATCGGAAATGCTGAGATCGCAGTCCAGGCCGGCCATCTGGCCGTTCGTCATTGGCTGGCCGCTCGATGACGAGTCCGTTTTACCGCCGTCCGCCTCGTCGAACAGCAGCACCCTCGGCCCGGAATGGGGCTTCTTGGCTGTCAGGGTGGGCGGCAGGAACACCTCGTCGCTCTCGCCCGGCACGAAGCTCTTGTAGAACGACGACAGCTGCTTCATCAGGTTGTAGCCGGGCAGCTCCTGCGATCGAATCCGCTTTTTATTGCACAATACTGTATTTGTTTTTTAAAAGATTTCCACTCATATTATTAAACCTTTATGTCATATTCGCGAGATTTACGAAGCGGGCGACATCTAGGTTACATAATACGAACTTCAAACTGGGGGAAAACAAACTTTTGTCTACGGATGAAGTGCATAGACTACATTGCATTCAGCTTGCTGTAGCTATAGTCAAACTTGTCAATGACATAAAGTGTTGGCACTGTTGGTAGTGATGATGGTTGAGTTGGTTAATTTTTTTACATTATTACATTTTTATTAGTTTAGTGAACAGTGAACCGGTGAAGAATTGGAGATAGTTCAAACAATTCAAACTAATTATGACGAGCAAATCGATTGACATATAAAAGAACAGTTACAACATGTTTACAATACCCAGATTCTCCTGCTTTGCATGAACAAATACAAATCCATTGTTCTACAGGAGTTCCTCTGGACCCCAACTTCAAATTTACTTCATGTGGGGAAGATTTCATCGCGGAAGTTTGTAGACAAAGTGCACTAATGGAATTGAGTGAGGATTGAGTTTGTTTTCCCCCAGTTTTGACGTGGCTTTTTTTTTTTTTAGAACAATTTCAAATACTGTCTGTAGGTTAATCTAGAGTTCCTAAATGTACTTGACACTGCTGTTTTAACGTTTTAGTATATTAGAGTACGGACACTATGACAAGCACTGACAATCAGACATAACCACAAATAAATTGATGGAAAAAGCGGGAACTGACAGTACACGGACGTACATCACATAAATTTCAAAGGTTTGACAAATTGAGAGACTTAGAGAAGATGCAAGTTTGTGCAATTTCCAACTGTGAGAACACAGGAAATAAATTCACTCTATTGGAATTTCTATCGGATAACTTAATTCTACAAAAATGGAAACAGAATATGATGCGGCATGGAATATAGTTTCAGGCCACAAAATTTGCGAGGTACTCAAATTTCTTGATAGAATATAGAACATTTTTCAACGCATTTATATCAGGTACACTTCAGAACCGAAGATTTGATGTTGAAGAATAGGATCGTATTGAGAGAAAGAGCCGAACCCAACAATTTATTAACTGAGTTTTTTCATCCAGAAAAAAAAAAACAATATGCGGAAGTTGGATGCCCATCAATGAGGCCTTTCAACACTTGATTCTTCTAATGATGAATAAAATGTATTAATATGCATTGACCTCGATTTATTTTTATGAACATTCTAATTCCAAGATTGTGATGTTTTGAAATTATTGCCTATAGATAAACGAGTGTTGGTAGAGTGTTGTTCGACATATTTGAATGAAAGGATGCGCTGACTGGGTTTGTCGGTCCTGGCTGTTATTGATAGTGATGAAATGATAGCACAGATATCCCGCGGAATATTGAAGAGTGATTAGTCTTGAATGAATTATATAACTCATTCTCGTATTTTCAAGTACTTAATGATTAATTGAATGAAATGCTGTGATTGGCTGCCTGATGCCGGTAATGATTCTCTCAATATATATCGAGCGCTGTGATTGGTTGTCTGATGCCGTGATGCCGGTAATGATTGTCTCAATATATATCTACTACTTATTTAATTTTGTATGCATGAAAACGTTGTGGAAATTTATTGTATTTACAATGAAAAAAAGTCTCTGTTATTTACTTTTACCAGTAAAAATGAATGAATGAATAAAGCTCACACCTGTCTCCAATGTGTTCAATTGATTCCTCTCAAATATTCCTTACATATTATATTATTTCATGAATTTCGTAAAATAAACTTGAGAATCAAATATAGTATATGATGTTGAATATTTCCAATGAATTGATTCATATTGTTGAAAAATATTTATAAACTAATTACAAGGCACTATCTGCATTATATATTAGTTCAAAATTCATTCCCCACAACAATTTCATTCTGAAGTAACAATTTTTCAGTTCCTAATATCAATTATTTTGTGTAGATCTAAGTCAGGTAATAATGAATCTGCCTGAGTCAATTAATAAACACATCTGAACCACCTTATGATATCAATTCACTGTAAGCATGAATTTCCAATGAAGTAAATCCCTGATATCAAGTTATTTGTTGATATGACAACGTTGCACCAGGAATAATTCAGTGACTTCAACCTAACATTTTGAGATCCGGCAACCATGACGCACAAAGTTCAAAGGGACGAGGTCACGAAACACATGTATGGGTACATCAAACAAAAGGGGCGCAGTGTCTCATCTGTATGGTTTGTTAATCTGTGTCCTTACTGAAGATACATATCACACATTGCCATCTACTGATTAGTCCCTGTTGCTATTTTTATGACTTGATGGATTTAGCATTTTTAGATTTTTTGTTGTTGTTGTCACCTCATGTTATTTTATTATTGTTGTTTGTAATCAACTTCCTCATACCAGAATTTTATTTTTGACTGGAAGCTATTTTCTCAATAAACAATAAACAATAAGACACCTCACCTCGCTCTCCAACTCGGCCGCGTCCAAATTAAACAAATTCGACATCTTCTCGTCGTTGGCCGACAGCATATTGTCCTCGGCCGAGTACCCCATCACGGGGGCGCCGAAGTCGATCTCGTTCTCGGCCTCCTCCTGCTCCTTGCTGTAGAGGAAATCGTACGCGACGAGGTACAGCCGCGTCTCGCTCGCCCTGTCGCTGTCCATCGCCATTTCCGGCTGTTTCTCGGACTGAGAGGTGAGGCTCAGGCCGCACAGCAAAGTGGAGCGGACTGGTTTCGCATTGGTCGGGCTGGATTTGTCGCTGACTATGCAGAGCGAGGTGACTTTCTTCTCCACTGGGTATTTTTCTGGAAGGAATCGTACCTTTGGTGAGGGTGTGGCAATACAAGGTGTTTCTCAAATTGGAGCGATCCTTGGAATGGGCAAAAACATAGCTTTGATTCTAATCAATTTGGTTTTCAAGAAAACAGTGGAACACAAGCAGCAGTATTACAGGTGATAGAATCAATCCAGAGAGGACTTGATTCAGGAAATTATGTGGTAGCTGTTTTCATTGATCTCAAAAAGGCTTTTGACACAGTTGATCATACAACACTTTTAGAAAATTTTGAAACAATGGGATTCAGAGGCACTGTGAGGAATATTTTGAATTCATATCTTGAAAATAGGACAATCAATACGAAATCAACCAACTCTGTGTCAAATCAACTACTAATTAATAAGGGTGTTCCACTAGACTCTGTTTTAGGACCTATACTATATATTTACTTTATTTTCAACATATCAGTGAAATTGGTCTAGCAAGTAAATATACCATGTATGCAGATGATACAGTACTTTTATATGAAAGCAAAAATCCTTCAAATTTAGAAAATATTTGAAAATATTTGAAAAATGTCTTCACTCTAACCTTTTATCGATAAATACTGATAAAACAGAATATATGATTTTCCACCAAAAAAATAAACAAAAAATTTACCTCAACCTTAAAATACAAAAAAGAACTCTTGAAACAAACTGACTAGATAAAATATCTTGGTATTTGGTTTGATGACAGGTTGAAGTGGGACAAACATATTGATGTTTTGACAAAGAAAATATCTCTAATAATCGGTTCATTGAGAAGATGTCCCAAACTTGATATTAAAATTGCAAACATCAATCTCTACTTACCCTCATATACTGAGTCGTATCAACTATTTAATAAATGTTTGGGGATCTTTTTCAAAAAAATAATTTCAATTAAATATCCACATTATATAGAAAATCGTTAAAAGTACTATATCATTTCCCATTTGGTGCACCAACCAATCAATTGTATGAAATAACAAATACGTATTCTTTAGATGAAATATATAGAATTGAAACTTAAAATTTCATATATCATAAATAAAAAATTGAAGTCGAATATTATTTTGATACGGAATTCTGAAATTCATAATCATGAAACTAGACAATAAAACTTGTTTCATCTTGACGCCGCTAGCTCCATAGTCGGACCAAAAATATTCACTCATTCAGTCTTAACTGAATTCAATAAACTACCTAGCAATATCAAAAATTGCAGAAATATAGGTACATTCAAAAATGACTCAAATTTACTATGTTTTTTTCTACAAATATTATTCTTTGTTTGCCAATTTATAGTTGTTGATATATTTTGAATGATGAAATGTTCACCTATAGGTATATAATTATGTACTTCCTTATACCAGAGCCTATTCTGTCTGGAAGTCATTTGCTCAATGGATAAATAAAATAAATAAATATGCCATTATTGCGGCATCTGGTGTCAAGCGTTTTGGGAGAAACAAAACACTCTCTGTGATTACACCGTATTCTATCCACCTTGGTGGGAACACATACAAAAAAAAGTCACAGCAAGTGACGGAAAATGACAGAATTCTACTTACTATTTTCCGCAACAGACCAAATTCCAGCCTGCCCAAAATCCTGCGTGAACTTGTCCAAGATGAACGAATCGAACTGCGTGACGTAGAAGGAATGTGCCCTTTTGGCCTTGCCGGTTACATCAAAAACCGATATAAGGCCGTCGCTGTTCGCGGTGGGCACCAGGTGGGGCACGTTGCTGTTGCCCAACACCTTCACGTTCAGCCCCCTGTAATCCAGTTAAATTGTACCAGAACAGTTGGGTAAAAGTGCACTTATCATGCGATGGGGTTTTTTTCGAAAAATTTTTTTGGTACTTATGTATTTTCGTCTGAAAAACACGAATTTCATAATGAAAATGTGAACAAACCACTATTTGTCGAGATATTTCAAGAAAAAGTTCGAAATTTTGCCTTCTTTTCCCCCTTGTGTTGGATGCATTTACAGGTACTTGCTCTTATTATTTTGTCATTGGACACTTTATATACTAATGATGTACTTCACTGACACATTTTAAGATAGAAAATTCAACAGGAAATATGATTTTTATGGCGAGTTTTTCCTATTTAGTGAAAAAGCATACCAGATGACGGCCATTTAATCCATTTGCAATCCAAATACGAGATGTCAAATGTCAATAGATTGCTTTGGAATGACATTACACACGCCATTATTTCAAATGATATTCTACCTTCTTTTCACTAAACATGGATAAATCACAAGTTGACTCATATAATAAAAAAAATGTGTCCAACATTGTGTGATATATATAAATTGTCCAATGATGGAAAAAGAAGGGCAAATTGTTCTATAAATGTGACCCAGAAGACAGGCGGAAAAGATGGTGAAATTTGTAACTTTATAGTGAAATATCTTAATAAATAATGGTTTGTTCTTATTTTCATTATGAAATTCGTGTTTTTCAGACGAAAATACGTAAGTACCAAAAAAAATTTTCGAAAAAAACCCCATCGCATGATAAGTGCACTTTTACCGAACAGTTGTGGGGTAGTTCTGATGTTTTCATTTCTCATGCTCCTTTGGTGTGCTGAAGCCGCATTTGAGTAATGCTAACAAAATTTCATGACGCAGCATTGAAAAAATATCCAAAGAAAGGTGAACAATATTATTTTTTTGTGTAGTTTGCCCTGTAGACCTGTTTGTCTAGTTGAATGTGAATGTCTAGTTGAATGTGAATGTATATTAGCATTTATTTTAAAATTCAAATTGGAATGTTTATAATTGTGTTTGACTGAATGAACAAATGTTAATATTTGAATTTATATACTGGGTGATTCACATAAGAACCGACATAGATCAGGGGCAGGTAGGGGGTCCCAAAATATGTCAATTTAACGCAACTTACCTCTATACCAAGTTGCTTCCCTAAGGAGTTATAGGCTTTGAAAGTGGAGTTATAAATTTTGAAAAAAATCAATATCTCCGTTATTCTTGAACTTACAGCAACCAAATTTGGTACACTTTGTGGTGGTATTTAGGGCGTTACTTGACAGTTACTAGAGTTCGATTGAAATTTGTTAAGGGGAGATACCAGGTGGCGCACCATTAATATTCAACAGAATTAACCTTTGATGGATTTCAAAAATCTTTGCTTTTTTTTGTGGGCAATTCAATTCTAAAACTTTTCTTAGTCTAGTAATTTCTCGAAAAACCTCATCATTTTCATCAAAAACTCGAATAACTGAAAACGCGTGCTCTAGGTGTGTTATTTAAAATCATCGAAAATTCAAAAGTTGGCTATGAAAATAAACGTCAAACTTGATAATGAAGCAAGTAAGTTGTTCAATCGAGTAATTTATCGATAAACAATTGTTTGTTCTGGTTGTTGTTTAAGTTTTTTGTGTTGATTTTGGTTAGTTGTTAATCCCAGTTTTTCACATTTCAGTATTTGTACTTACTTTACGTATTTTGTTACGTATCTGAATAATAATTTGCCAGCCAATTTCTACTGATCACAATTAATGACCTACTTTCTTGTTGTATGTTTATTTTCATAGCCAACTTTTGAATTTTCGATGATTTTGAATAACACACCTAAAGCGCGCGTTTTCAGTTATTCGAGTTTTTGATGAAAATGATGAGGTTTTTAGAAAAATTACTAGAATAAGAAAAGTTTTTGAATTGAATTGCCCACACAACAAAGCAAAGATTTTTAAAATCCATCAAGGGTTAACACAATTCTGTTGAATATTAATGGTGCGCCACCCGGTATACCTCCTTTACAAATTTCAATTAAGCTCTAGTTACTGTCAAGTAACGCCCTAAATACATCCACAAAGTGTACCAAATTTGGTTGCTTTAAGTTCAAGAATAACGGAGATATTGATTTTTTTCAAAATTTATAACTTCACTTTCGAAGCCTATAACTCCTTAGGGAAGCAACTTGGTATAGAGGTAAGTTGCGTTAAATTGCCATATTTTGGGACCTCCTACATGCCCCTGCTCCATGTCGGTTCTTATGTGAATCACCCTGTATTGATTGAAGATCTAATATTTCATTCGGTTTACAAAGGTTTCTTGTTGGTTCCAAATAATCCAATTTATACATACATTTGACAACATTATTCTGAAGGATTCTAAGTGGCTTTATAATTAATAAACTAGCCGTTCCCTATACCAGAACTTGTTCTGACTGGAAGATATGTTTGATAAACAAATAGAAATAAATACCTGTAGGTGGAGTCGACGGCAGGGCAGGTGGCGTGGGTCACTGACAAAGGCACGTTCTGCGTGTACTCCCCGATCACGAACGGGCAGTTGGGCGAGTGTCGTTCGTGTTCGCTGCAGGGCTCGTCGGTGCGCTCCCAGCACACCAGGCACACGGTGCACGTGAAGCACATGGCGCGATCGTCTCCCGAGGAGTTCGGCTGATGGTAGAAGCCGGCTTGCGCCATTTGGTCCGGCAATGCCCATCTGGAATCAATCAATCAATCGTAGTGTTGCCGGGATGCGATTTTACTAAATATACTGTACGCTAGCACAAACCACGCCCACCGTAATATCTCATCTTCGAAGTACTTAGGCAAAACTCAGAGACTATTTATCCTTAACGAACTAACCTTTCCCTGATTGCAATATTTTTGAGGAAGGAAAACCAGAATATAGTGTAGAAACACATTGATTAATAATATATTTCAAAAGTTGAGTTCTTCAACAAAATTGAATAAAATGAGACTGTTTATCCTAAACGCACTAACCTATTTGACTTCAAATATTTTCTGAAAAAGGAGAACCAGAATGAAGTAAAAAAAACATTGGTGAAAAAAAAAGTTGCAAAAAAATTTTCAAGTTCACAGAGATTCGAACCGCGGACCTTCAGACTGAAAGTCGACAGCGCTAACCAGTAGACCATTTGGGCATATGAATTTACTGCGTACAAGAGATTGACAACGAGAGAGCTTCAGTCGAATTCGTGTCAAAATCATAAAAAGTGTATTCTTGCGTTGGAGCACAGTATATTTAGTGCGATGTGCTGACCCCGAGTATATCGGTAATGTTTGGAGATATGACGTATTATGGTGGGCGTGGTTTGTGCTAGCGTGCAGTATATTTAGTAAAATTGTTGCCGGCGAAGCAACGGGTGAGACCAAGTCCCATCCCCCCTTCCAAGACTCCCCTAAGGGATGACTGCCGGTCCCCTATCTTTCGACTTATACCGACAGCACACCCCAGAGAGAAATAGAAGATTTGGATACGCCAAATCAGCGCGCTGGAGCCATCTCCGTTATGTAACGGCATGTTCTCCTGCTACCATTTTATTATACCAATGGTGAGGCCGTCTGATAAAACAGACTACTGGCTCTGCAGTGTCAGTGCCCGAGCATAAACGCTGCTCACCCGCCGAGGCAGGCAAGATATCCTCCCACTTGACCCATAGTGGGATTCTTCTTCACCTCCTCTACCGTATTCCGGTGGTATTTTTCGGAAACCGCTGCCCCCTGGATTCCAACCCAATTGGTGGCGATTTTACTAAATATAAACTATTGCAGCACAAGACACGCCCACCATAATACGTCATATCTCATACTGTGCTCTAACGCAAGAACTGAAGCTTTCTCGTTGTCAATCTCTTGTACGCAGTAAATTCATACACCCAAAAAATGGTCTACTGGTTAGCGCTGTCGACTCTCAGTCTGAAGGTTCATGGTTCGAATCGCTGTGAACTCGAACTTTTTTTTGCAACTTTTTTTTTCACCAATGTTTTTTTACTTCATTCTGGTTTTCCTTTTTCATAAAATATTTGAAGTCAAATAGGTTAGTGCGTTTAGGATAAACAGTCTCATTTTATTCAATTTTGTTGAAGAACTCAACTTTTGAAATATATTATTAATCAATGTGTTTCTACACTCCATTCGGTTTTCCTTCCTCAAAAATATTGCAATCAGGGATAGGTTAGTTCGTTGAGGATAAATAGTCTCTGAGTTTTGCCTAAGTAAAGTACTTTGAAGATGAGATATAACGTGGTATGTGCTACTTTTTCAATCGATTTATTTATATGAATCAGCTACGTTGTGCTGTCAAAGATTAGATTTTGCAGGATTGTGCTGGGCTCGATTATATTTTGCAATGCCGTAGTAGGGGGCGTGTCTTGTGCTGCAATAGTTTATATTTAGTAAAATCGCCAATTGGTGAGGCACCAGGCCGCATGTACGGCCTGATGGGGCTGTCCTCATCACCCCAGGTACCCATGTCAACAAGATTCCTCTTGTACAAGATTCCTCTTGTTACGTTTGATGGGTCGCCGTCGCAAGAGGCTTTCGCCTGATTGCTACTCATGTTGTCAAGAATCCTCTCGTCCCGTTGAATAAGTGTTTGTTCGAGGACTTTCAGGAGAGGACCCGGCTTTCCCTACGATGACTGGCGGTAGGATCGCTTGAGGCTGCCCCCTACCTGTCGATTCAACTGAAAATCGGGTAGATTATCCATGAATACCGGTTGATTATCCATGATATCTCCGAATATTGGTAGATTTCGACAGTGAATCCTTAGTCGGGAGAAAATTCCGAGAATCATCAGATCTCCCGATTTATCGAGGTGGTTGGCAGCACTGTAGGGCAGTCTTCAGCTAGCAGTCCTAAAACCACCGACTAAGCGTAGCCTAGCCAAACAAAAATCAAATCGGCATAATACTCCCTCAGGCGTCCTTCATAGACAATATGAGAACAACGCCATCTGAGTAGAAAAGGAAAGAAACACTCCAAAACCTATATTCCCATACGGGAGTGGCTGTTTGCCTAGATTATCCATGATATCTCAGAATATTACTAGATTTCGACAGTGAATCGTTAGTGGGAAGAAAATTCAGAAAATCAGATCTCCCGATATATCGGGGTGGTTGGCAGCACTGTAAGGCAGTCTCTAGCCAGCAGTCCTAAGACCGCCGACTAAGCGTAGCCTAGCCAAACAAAAATCAAATCGGCATTATACTCAAGAACGAACTATAAAATCATGGGTTCCTCCTATTCTGTTTTATTCAACGACAGCACTCCAACATCGTTTTGGTGACTTGACAACCTTGCTTCATGAGTGGAAATGGAAGATTATCTGACCATCAGCATAAAAACTGACGTCACCATTTATTCGACGTATCGCCAAATGGTGGCCATGAAGGTTTGTTAATTATCATCAATTTATTATCGGTCCACTCGAAAATATCGTTATTGAACAAGAGTACCAATATCTCATAGAAATGATGTTTACGTCATATTATCTAATCAAAATCACTAAAAAGTTTCATACAAAAAAGTTATGTCGATTTCATCATCATGAATCATTCACGTGCAACAAACTGTAGAATATTAGATAGAATAATATTCCCAATAAAAATTAGGCCTCTTTGCCGATTTTGAAATTATTAGCAGAAAACAAAAAAAACTCAGCTTCAACACCCTGTATCTTTTTCCACAGCAATATTTTATTGAGGCATATTCGGTCCTATCGCCATATTTTGGTCCAATCAATCCGCCATCAGCCTATGTGCCCCATTAGTTAAGACTCACCTTGGATAAAATTCTCCTGTCCCTGTCGGCTGGACCGATTCGTATGAAATTTTTTGGGCGTATTCCTTAGATATGAGAATCGGTCGTAAGCTATTATTGTGATTGAAAATCCAAGATGGCGGATCCAATATTTTATTCAAAATTGGTATCTGAGGATTCGGGGTCGGAGATCATGATACTTTCGTCAAAATTTGGAAATTTAAGATGGCGGATTAAATATGGCGGACAAGTTTTGTATTCATGGTCCGATTCTTTCAAAATTGGTATGTGGGGGTTTTCGGGATCGGAGATAATGATTCCTTCGTCAAAATTAGGAAATTCAAAATGGCGGATCCAATATGGCGGACGAGTTTCGTAATCCGATTTTATTCAAAATTGGTATCTGAGGGTTCGGGGTCGGAGATCATGATACTTTCGTCAAAATTTGGAAATTTAAGATGGCGGATTAAATAATGCGGACAAGTTTTGTATTCATGGTCCGATTCTTTCAAAATTGGTATCTGGGGGTTTTCGGCATCGGAGATTATGATTCCTGCGTCAAAATTAGGAAATTCAAAATGGCGGATCCAATATGGCGGACGAGTTTTTTAATTATGGTCCGATTCTATTCAAAATTGATATTTAAGGGTTTTCGGGGTCGGAGATTGTGATTCTTTCGTCAAAATTGAAAAATTCAAGTTGACGGGTCGAATTAGGCGAACGAATTTTCTAATTACTATCCGATTTTATTTAAAATTGGTATACCGGGTTTTCGGTATTTCAAGATAACGGAAACAATATGGGCAAGATCGAGCTTTGTTATAAATAGAAGTTTGAAAAGCAAATGAAACATGCTTTTATGGATAGCTGACCTTAAGAGAAGTAGAAAATGAATAGTAGTTTGCAAACCTGAAAAACATGCTTTAATGAATGAGCAAACTGAAGAGAATTAGAAAATAAATGATAGTTTGAAATAGAAAATTAAATATTAAAAGTGTGTTGAGAAATATTGTTAACAGCAAAACAATATTTGCCAGGTCAGCTAGTAATATTTATTAATCTATATTCAAATAACTTCTCAAATTTTCCAGATTCTCAATCAACCAGCATTTCATTTTTTTTCTTGAATCTAAAGAAACTGATTTTTTTAAAGAGGGAGGCAATTCATTGTAGAATTTTTCACCCATATGAATGGCATGATGTTGCATTAGGGAATTTCTCAGTTGATATCCAACCATAAATTTTGTTTTTGTTCTCATATTATATGAAGTTTTTCTCAGACCTTGTACTCTGTAGAAATGAATAAACTATCTATCTATCTATCTATCTATCTATCTATCTATCTATCAATGTTTTACATGATTATCCTATGTGATGATGTGATATTCTGTGTACAATAACATACCTTTATACCCTAAGTTCATCTCACTCTAGTTAAATTCAGAGGTTAACAACTACACCTCTTTTCATTTATTTTCATTCTTTTCAACAAACCTAGCATGAAAATAATCTGCATTTCTTATTGAATATTTTACCTCTACTTCAATACAGATGTAATTTACTAACTTTAATCTACTGGTGCAGGTAGAAATATAATAGTTTAATTGATTTATGTTGATAAAGGTTGGTCTTACTTATAATCCATATGGGGCCATTGTGAATATGTCTCTCTTCTCCTCCATTCACTAGCCATTGATTTTCTGTCTGAAGCATTGACTTTTTCACCCAGTAAATCAGCCAGCCTCTCTTGGACTGCAGAGGCTACACCTAGTTCTGGGACATGCTCTTTTTTGGTCAACAGAATTGCTACTATGTCTGCAGCAGCCACACGTAGGTCTTCTAAGGTTATGTTCAAACACACTGTGTTCCACTGAAAATGAGAGGAGACATTTTACAGATGTGCATTGGGAGGGGGATGTATTCAACTTACTTTTTGGGCTTTTATTCCTCTCCTGAGATATTTTTGGGCCCTCAATATTACATCAGTGAGCTCATTTATGATATGGTCAACAGAGGTTAGGTTACTAGATAAACTTTCCTTTAAAATTATAGCCTGAAATATTTGAGGACAATAATAGAATCATTTAAAAAATGAGTTTTCAGATATGAGACAAGGTAGATATACTGCTTGCATGACAAAACAATTTCACATATTTTTTACCTCTGATAGTGGCAATTCAAGTTTAACTTCCTCTTTACTGTCACTGGTAGTTTTCTGAAGAATACTGTCAAGTAGTAAAACACCATTATAATCTGACCTCACACCCAAAGCTTGTCCATCTGTGAATAACACTCTATCCAAAGTTGGAATATATTTGCACTTGACTTCCGTCAAATTTAGGGCTGAAATTAATTGATGATTGCTGATTAGGAATCATATGAAATGAGGAAATGGGGGATTTACTACCTGAGAGATAACTGGATTGAAGGATTACACCAGAGTTCACATCAAGCACTTTCACTTCGCCACTATGCGTACATATTAAAATAACGTTTAGGTAAGGATGGTAGACTATTTCTTTTACGTTCGTGTCCACATTTAAATATCCATCTTCATTTAAAATCCACTGTTCCTCAGCCATTTTGCTAAATACATCTTGCGCCATGAAAGAAAGGCAACATTTATGTCAATCTAGTCCAGTGCCAGTCAAATGTCAGATGTCTGAAAGATTTTATTTTTATTATTTGTGTTGGCCATACTGATATGTCGGCTTCTTAATTATTGGGTATCTTGCTCTTACACTATTCAGCTATTCAAGAGCCTAGTTACTTTGTGATTATGGTGTTATAGGAAATAATACCAAGGTTAAGGAGTGTAATGGTATACGCCGAGTAGGCATTACGCACAGACACCACCACACAAGACATAATATAGGAAATCAGTATATTAGTATTATTAGTAAAAAATATCGACACTTACTGATCCCCCAACAGTATCTTTGCAAAAAATCTTCTAGAATAAAATCGGATATCCCTGGAAAAATCCAAGGAGTATACAGTTTGTTGTTCACTATTTTTAAATTGATGTATGCATGAATTTGTTTTTTTTTTTGCTCACACACAGGCTGAGGCCTCTGTGAGTTTCCATATTTAATTGTTATATAAACGATTCTATTCTATTCTATTCTATTCAAACAAATTTTTATTTTCTTGTGAAGGAAAATAATAAAATAGAAATAGTTCCAAACTCATAAACCCATTATATTTATGAAACATTGAAGAGATTGCCATGAGATAATATACATTTTGAATCAACATTTCTTCTGAATATAGGGAAGAAGATCCATGGCTGTTACTATTCCAATGGGTTTGTCTATTCGAGAAACTCCAGAACCTACAAAAACAATAATTGTATAATCGGCATAGGACATTAGGAAACATTTGTATACCTTGTGATTCTAAAATCAAAACATACGACTCTCTCTCCAAAATTCTGGATACAATTCCAAGGTTAGCAGTAGTGTATACTTTGGGAAAAATTCTCACAATACATCTTTCAAAATTGCCATTTGATTGTACTTTCCCAGATATCAATCCATTCATTAAATTCTGCAGAGTCAACATACCAACCATACCCCTGGAAATTCGAAACTCAAATCATTGCAGGAATAATAAGGAAATGTTAAATGTTGAATGTTGAAAATGAAGAATGCCTACCCATTATTGTCAACAACCGGTATTTGATCAATACCTGCCTTTTTCATGACATTCAGTACCCTTTCACAATTTACACTCACAGTGGTGGTCTGCAAAGGTTCCAATTCTAATTCTGAGACACAAATATCCCACCACCTAAAAAAACCATATACATATAATTTATAATAATTTCATATTGTTCATTATTCATAAAGTGTTTCTTAGAACATTCCAAGATTGATAATTGAAACAAATTTCCATCTGTAGCAATGTCCAAATTGAAATCTGTTATTTTTTTTATAAATGACACAAACATAATAATATATGCATTGTTTGATCATGTTTAAACCTCCAAAATCTCAGTATAACGGGTGACACAGGGTATGGGGCCTGCATTCGTAAGCGAATTTTTCTAAAATTTTGTTAGTTATGTAAGCTAATCACAATACAATAAGACAGACTTCCGTTTTTCTGGAAATGCCAGCAACTTTAATTCTTCAGATTGTACACCCTGTTTATTTTTACATATTTAACTAACCTAACCTAACCAGACCTGTTGAATTCCATTTGGAAAAACAAAGTTGCTGGCTTTTCTAGAAAAACCGGAAGTCCGCCATATTGGATTGTAATATGTGATCAAATCCGAAATGGCTGCATATAAAACTGTATACCAAATTCCAGACAAATCCGTTTACGAATCCAGAATTTACAGGGCGACCCGATACCCTAGCTGTATCACCCCCAGTATAACAATAAATAGCTACCAATGATTTTGTGTATTAACACAAGGCATCAAGTTTCTGGCTTCCATCCACTGATCAGAAACGAATTTCGTTATGTAATTCCTAATACTATCAGGCATGATGACAACGACTTTTTGACCGGCCTTCAAGTCTTTTGCCGCCTTTATCGCTGCCGATAATGCAGCGCCACTACTTGAACCTGAAAATAGAAAAGGAAATTTTATTTTGATCCCAATATTTTTTTTATTGGTGTCACTCGAGATTACTCAAGGCATGAAATATTTGCACTCATTTCAATGCCACCCTGTATATGTATATATGGTTTTTTTCAAGTAATTTTTCAAGGAGGAGTAGTTTCAATCTTGTTTTGATGTTCAGCAAATTGTGAGACCTAAATTTCCGGGATTCCGAGTAAGTAGAAGAACTATACCGTTACGAGCACAGTACCGCACGCAACATTCCCTAGGTGGCGCTGTAGATGTGGCGATAATTTCAAATTCAATCTGGTTTGTATTTAATATCAAATATTATCCGTATCGTATGATGACGTCATTTTGTCAATTTACATTTGAAATGAAATGAAAAAAGCTAACCCGTTTGACTGTGCACAGGGAATCGAACTCCGGCCGACGGATTGTGAGCCCGATGCGCTACCATTTCGCCACATCCACAAGTAAATGTTTGTGTTTAATTTGGGAAAATAACATGCCTAAACTAGACATTGTGCGCTGTCCTCTCGCTGACAAACATTCACTTGTGGATGTGAAGTGAATGTGGCGAAATGGTAGCGCATCGGGCTCACAGTCCGTCGGCCGGTGTTCGTTTCCCTTTGCACAGTCTAACGGGTCAGCTTTTTTTCATTTCATTTCAAATATAAATTGAAAAACTGACGTCATCATACGGATAATATTCAATATTAAATACTAAACAGCTAGAAATTGAAATTTTCGCCACATCTACAGCGCCACCTAGGGGGTGTTGCGTGCGGTACTGTGCTCGAAACGGCATAGTTCTTCTACTGGAGTACTTTACTGTTACGTGTTGTAAATCTGTTGATGTTGGAAGAAGATGCCAGTCTACGGAACAGATAATCATGTTCCCGAAGAGTTAAAATTTCATGTACATTAGTTAATAGATGCGAATTTCTAAGTTTCTTCAGTCTCAACCATCCGGATTGATCAAACTTGCGGATACCATAACAAAGGCGGAGACAGAGTTCTGTATGCGTTGCAAGCGATGGGCATCATAGAAGTGAGCGATAATTTTTGTCGGTTACTCGACCGAAAAGATACATATAATAATGAAGATGATGGAAAGCCCTTATTTCGAGTGACAACGGAAAATAAAAAACTATACCGCCCCGCGTGAGCAGAGCGTTGGGCCTGTAACCCAGAGGTTGTGAGTTCGACTCTCACGCGAGGCGGTGGAGTTTTTTCATTATCCGTTGTCACTCAAAAATAGGGCTTTCCATCATCTTCATTAAAATAGTATCACTTGTGGTATTACATATGAGGATAAGCTTTGAGATTCAAAAATCTCACTCTTGATAATCCCAACTCTTTTATTATTATATGAAAAAGCCAAATTCTCAATAATGCTTACCAACTAGTAAGCCTTCCTCTTTGATCAGCCTCCTGGCCATAGGCAGAGATTCTTCATCGTTCGTTTTGATCCACATATCTACCACGGATCTGTCCAAAACGGTAGGCAGAAAGTCGTATCCCACACCCTCAACCTCGTAAAAAGTCACGTCGGTCTCGTTGATTTTATCGGGGAGGGCGAGAATGGACCCCTCGGGGTCGGCACCCACTATTTTCGTGCCAGGAGATATTTCTTTGAATTTCCTGCCAATCCCGCATATCGTTCCACCAGTGCCAGCACCTACAACCTTGAAAACAAAACGGGAAAGTGGTCGAGAACTATGTTGAGACATCATTTTTTTTATCTGTAGGAGCGCACGAAAGGAAATTCCTACACTGTTCGTGGAATATCGGGAGTACCTATGCAATGCAGTAGGCTCATATAGGTCAAACAATATTTTTTCCTGTTTGCCCTAAAAATCCCAAGAAATTCATAGACACTAATTCAGACTCATTAAGAAAGAATTTGATATCGGATTTAATAAAGAACATTCCCTCTAGATTTTCAAAATCAGAGGTTCAAGCAATGCAGTAGGCTCATATAGGTCGAAAATTTTTTTTTTCCTGATTGCTCTAAAAATCCCAAAAAATTCATAGACACTAATTCAGACTCATTAAGGAAGAATTTTATATCAGATTTGATACAGAACTCTCCTTTTAGATTTTCAAAATCAGCAGTTCAAGCAATGCAGTAGGCTCATATAGGTCGAAAATTTTTTTTCCTGATTGCCCTAATGTTCCCAAAAAATTCAAAGACACTAAATCGGACTCATTGAGAAAGAATTTGATATCAGATTTGATAAAGAACTCTCCCTCGAGAGTTTCAAAATCAGCGGTTCAAGCAATGCAATAGGCTCATATACGTAGAAAAATATTTTTTTCCTGATTGCCCTAAAAATCCCGAAAAATTCATAGACACTAATTCAGACTTATTAAGAGAGAATTTTATATCAGATTTGATACAGAACTCTCCTTTTAGATTTTCAAAATCAGTGGTTCAAGCAATGCAGTCGGCTCATATAGGTCGAAAAAATTTTTTTTCCTGATTGCCCTAATGTTTCCAAAAAATTCATAGACACTAATTCGGACTCATTGAGAAAGAATTTGATATCAGATTTGATACAGAACTCTCCTTTTAGATTTTCAAAATCAGCGGTTCAAGCAATGCAGTAGGCTCATATACGTAGAAAAATATTTTTTTCCTGATTGCCCTAAAAATCCCAAAAAATTCATAGACACTAATTCAGACTTATTAAGAAAGAATTTTATATCAGATTTGATACAGAACTCTCCTTTTAGATTTACAAAATCAGCGGTTCAAGCAATGCAGTAGGCTCATATATGTAGGTCGAAACAATTTTTTTTCCTGATTGCCCTAATGTTCCCAAAAAATTCATAGACACTAATTCGGACTCATTGAGAAAGAATTTGATATCAGATTTGATACAGAACTCTCCCTTTAGATTTTCAAAATCAGCGGTTCAAGCAATGCAGTAGGCTCATATACGTAGAAAAATATTTTTTTCCTGATTGCCCTAATGTTCCCAAAAAATTCATAGACACTAATTCGGACTCATTGAGAAAGAATTTGATATCAGATTTGATACAGAACTCTCCCTTTAGATTTTCAAAATCAGCGGTTCAAGCAATGCAGTAGGCTCATATACGTAGAAAAATATTTTTTTCCTGATTGCCCTAAAAATCCCAAAAAATTCATAGACACTAATTCAGACTCATTAAGAAAGAATTTTATATCAGATTTGATACAGAACTCTCCTTTTAGATTTTCAAAATCAGAGGTTCAAGCAATGCAGTAGGCTCATATAGGTCGGAAAATTTTTTATTCCTGATTGCCCTAATGTTCCCAAAAAATTCATAGACACTAATTTGGACTCATTGAGAAAGAATTTGATATCAGATTTGATACAGAACTCTCCTTTTAGATTTTCAAAATCAGAGGTTCAAGCAATGCAGTAGGCTCATATAGGTCGAAAAAAATTTTTTTCCTGATTGCCCTAAAGTTCCCAAACAATTCATAGACACTAATTCGGACTCATTGAGAAAGAATTTGATATCAGATTTGATACAGAACTCTCCCTTTAGATTTTCAAAATCAGCGGTTCAAGCAATGCAGTCGGCTCATATACGAAAAAAAATATTTTTTTCCTGGTAGCCCTAAAAATCCCAAAAAATTCATAGACACTTATTCAGACTCATTATGAAAGAATTTTATATCAGATTTGATACAGAACTCTCCTTTTAGATTTTCAAAATCAGCGGTTCAAGCAATGCAGTAGGCTCATATAGGTCGAAAAATTTTTTTTTCCTGATTGCCCTAATGTTCCCAAAAAATTCATAGACACTAATTCGGACTCATTGAGAAAGAATTTGATATCAGATTTGATAAAGAACTCTCCCTTTAGATTTTCAAAATCAGCGGTTCAAGCAATGCAGTAGGCTCATATAGGTCGAAAAAAATTTTTTTCCTGATTGCCCTAATGTTCCCAAAAAATTCATAGACACTAATTTGGACTCATTAAGAAAGAATTTGATATCAGCTTTGATAAAGAACTCTCCCTTTAGATTTTCAAAATCAGCGGTTCAAGCAATGCAGTAGGCTCATATAGGTCGAAAAATTTTTTTTCCTGATTGCCCTAATGTTCCCAAAAAATTCATAGACACTAATTCGGACTCATTAAGAAAGAATTTGATATCAGATTTGATAAAGAACTCTCCCTTTAGATTTTCAAAATCAGCGGTTCAAGCAATGCAGTAGGCTCATATAGGTTGAAAAAAAATTTTTTCCTGATTGCCCTAATATTCCCAAAAAATTCAAAGACACTAATTCAGACTCATTAAGAAAGAATTTGATATCAGATTTGATAAAGAACTCTCCCTCTAGATTTTCAAAATCAGCGGTTCAAGCAATGCAGTAGGCTCATATAGGTAGAAAAATATTTTTTTCCTGATTGCCCCAAAAATCCCAAAAAGCTTCATAGACACTAATTCAGACTTATTAAGAAAGAATTTTATATCAGATTTGATACAGAACTCTCCTTTTAGATTTTCAAAATCAGCAGTTCAAGCAATGCAGTAGGCTCATATAGGTAGAAAAATATTTTTTTCCTGATTGCCCCAAAAATCCCAAAAAGCTTCATAGACACTAATTCAGACTTATTAAGAAAGAATTTTATATCAGATTTGATAAAGAACTCTCCCTTTAGATTTTCAAAATCAGCGGTTCAAGCAATGCAGTAGGCTCATATAGGTTGAAAAAAATTTTTTTCCTGATTGCCCTAATATTCCCAAAAAATTCAAAGACACTAATTCAGACTCATTAAGAAAGAATTTGATATCAGATTTGATAAAGAACTCTCCCTCTAGATTTTCAAAATCAGCGGTTCAAGCAATGCAGTAGGCTCATATAGGTAGAAAAATATTTTTTTCCTGATTGCCCCAAAAATCCCAAAAAGCTTCATAGACACTAATTCAGACTTATTAAGAAAGAATTTTATATCAGATTTGATACAGAACTCTCCTTTTAGATTTTCAAAATCAGCAGTTCAAGCAATGCAGTAGGCTCATATAGGTAGAAAAATATTTTTTTCCTGATTGCCCCAAAAATCCCAAAAAGCTTCATAGACACTAATTCAGACTTATTAAGAAAGAATTTTATATCAGATTTGATAAAGAACTCTCCCTTTAGATTTTCAAAATCAGCGGTTCAAGCAATGCAGTAGGCTCATATAGGTTGAAAAAAATGTTTTTCCTGATTGCCCTAATATTCCCAAAAAATTCATAGACACTAATTCAGACTCATTAAGAAAGAATTTGATATCAGATTTGATAAAGAACTCTCCCTTTAGATTTTCAAAATCAGCGGTTCAAGCAATGCAGTAGGCTCATATACGTAGAAACATATTTTTTTCCTGATTGTCCTAATAAATTCAAAGACACTAAATCGGACTCATTGAGAAAGAATTTGATATCAGATTTGATACAGAACTCTCCCTTTAGATTTTCAGAATCAGCGGTTCAAGCAATGCAGTAGGCTCATATAGGTAGAAAAATATTTTTTTCCTGATTGCCCTAAAAATCCCAAAAAATTCATAGACACTGATTCAGACTCATTGAGAAAGAATTTGATATCAGATTTGATACAGAACACTCCCTTTAGATTTTCAAAATCAGCGGTTCAAGCAATGCAGTAGGCTCATATACGTAAAAAAATATTTTTTTCCTGATAGCCCTAAAAATCCCAAAAAATTCATAGACACTTATTCAGACTCATTATGAAAGAATTTTATATCAGATTTGATACAGAACTCTCCTTTTAGATTTTCAAAATCAGCGGTTCAAGCAATGCAGTAGGCTCATATAGGTCGAAAAAATTTTTTTTCCTGATTGCCCTAATGTTCCCAAAAAATTCATAGACACTAATTCGGACTCATTGAGAAAGAATTTGATATCAGATTTGATAAAGAACTCTCCCTTTAGATTTTCAAAATCAGCGGTTCAAGCAATGCAGTAGGCTCATATAGGTCGAAAAAATTTTTTTTCCTGATTGCCCTAATGTTCCCAAAAAATTCATAGACACTAATTCGGACTCATTGAGAAAGAATTTGATATCAGATTTGATACAGAACTCTCCCTTCAGATTTTCAAAATCAGCGGTTCAAGCAATGCAGTAGGCTCATATACGTAAAAAAATATTTTTTTCCTGATAGCCCTAAAAATCCCAAAAAATTCATAGACACTAATTCAGACTCATTAAGAAAGAATTTTATATCAGATTTGATGAAGAACTCTCCTTTTAGATTTTCAAAATCAGAGGTTCAAGCAATGCAGGCTCATATAGGTCGAAAATTTTTTTTTTCCTGATTGCCCTAATGTTCCCAAAAAATTCATAGACACTAATTTGGACTCATTAAGAAAGAATTTGATATCAGATTTGATAAAGAACTCTCCCTTTAGATTTTCAAAATTGCAATTTGTGTTGGGAAATTAAAACAGAATTGAAAATTCCTGTGACATATTTTCATTGAATGTGATAAACTACAAAAAAAAATTTTCATCATTACATATGCTTTTGGAAGCATATTTTCCTTGACAATACTGATACTTACAATCATGTCAACCTTCTGATCACATTGATCAAAGATTTCTTCAGCTGTTGTATCATAATGTGCTAAAGGGTTTCCAGGATTAGAGTACTGAAATGAAAAAAATATGAATTCAAAAAAGGATTTATGTATTCAATGTATCAAATAAGAGTTAAGTTAGTCAAGTAATAATTTTGTTATGATGAGATTTTAACCAAGATTGATAAATTATTTAGGTGGCGATGCCAAAAGTGGCAAATACAGATGGTGGAGAGAAAATTCGATAAAATCAAGTGAGATTTTTTTGAACCTATGTGGTTTTGCCATGGTTGTACTCACAATTTTATTCATTTTATATGTATTTGATTGATTGATTGTTTTCATTACCCCAAGAAACATATCTATGTATAATGACACATATAACTAATGCATTTTACTCAATGGAAACAAATTCATACTGTCAACAAGTTGCCATGAAATTTAGGATTGCCGAAAAAACAATTGGTTGAGCTGGAATCAATTCTCTAACAATGGAAAAGTGTTTGATATAACTATTTGAACAAAAGTACCTTGAAAAATAATATGTAGTTTATTTGGAAGAGATCCAGATTTTTATAATGAATCATTCTGTCATTTCAAATTTTCATTGAGAATTGAAATTTTTTTGGCAGCCATAAGTACATACCTTTACATAAACATAGCTTCATTTATCTGAAGTTTCTACAGAAATCTTCACTGAATCTGTGACCATTCTAATATTTTAAATTGATTCTCTAGACATACAATATTTGAAACTATTCAGTTATATCACGTATTATGATTATTGTGAGATCTGATATAAAAATAAAAATAGGTGATTAGGTCACAAGCTGTACTTTATTTTTTTCAAACTTAAAATGTTAAAGTGTTATTCCAAATTTGCGAAATTTTACCTGATCCAAGATAACAGAATTGGGGATTTCCTTTTTCAGTCTATGGGTGACTCCAAACATGCCCTCTGCTGAGTTAGAATCGGCGGTGACAGGAGTTCTAATGATTTCTGCCCCAAGAGCAGTGAGAACGGATACCTTTTCATTGGACATTTTTTCAGACATCACAATCACACATCTGTATCCTGATAAAATGATTTTTATACTAGAGAAAAGATGCAACAGTTGATTGCCAGGTTACCTTTGACTGCCGCTGCCATTGCCAGACCTATTCCTGTGTTTCCAGAGGTTGGTTCAATGATGGTGTATCCAGGTTTGAGTAAACCTTGCTTCTCAGCATCTTCTATGATTCTGTGAGCTATGCGGTCTTTCACTGATCCTCCTGGATTGAAGAATTCACATTTGACATCTGCAAACAAAAAATTTCGTGAATGATATTCACATCAGATGATACATTTAGTATGTACAGTGCATCCCATTTTGGTAGAGGCAGTCAGGTTTCTTGATTGTTATTGAGCATTGCAGTTCTCATGTTCATGTCCTACATTTTTGAGAAACCCAAGATGGCCCATTCAGATTTTGCATAACTGTTTCCATTTATGAGATATACTTTTTGGGCTCTAAAAATAATGTTGTCTTATCTGGAACTGGGAATTTTGTGCAGAATTCATAGTGGCCTAGCCATTTTTTGTCAGGCTATGGTTTTGGAGATATACCAGAAAATCATATATATTTATAGAACACCCTGATTTTTTTAAATTTTGTTGGCTTTGTTATTTTCTTCCCTTCAGAAAGGGATGTACTGACATGAAAAAAATCATGCACAACAAATTTTAATTGAGAACCAGGACACTTATATTTGTACTTAGTACAATGAAATTGAATGAAATGAATATTGATTTCTTGTCTTGCTTGTGAAAAAATATCTAAATTTGAATATCAACCAGATTTTCTAGAATATGAAAACTTGAGTCAAACCAGAAATTATAATTTGAATTTTGTTTCAATCACACTCAACTTGACATGAAACCTCTATTTTAGGTATTCTGAGCCTAGATATTCTGCATACTCTGAGATTCTGAAGGACTAAAGGAAATAATTGCTTGAAAACCATATTAGTCAAATAATTTTGATACTGAGGCACATTATGAAAATTCATAATTTTTATCAATTGATACAAGGCAAAGAACAATTCCTGATTAACTATATTTTTCTAATATAGAAAATACAAAAAGAAAAAACAGAAAAAACCTGAATTTCCTCTAAATTTCTGTTTTTTTTTCAATCTATATTCTGGATATACCAAATAATGAAATAAATATCTGTGAGTAAATAATATCATATTGTATAACATGACTTTTGATCTCTTGAGAAATTCATTATTGCCAATGCTACAACTGCAAAATTGTTTACAATTTTTCCATGAACTTTCATGGATAAAATTCAACTATAGCAATAGGTCAATGTGAATAAGAACATGATAATGAATTCAATCAACAAATAAGTAGAAACTCAATTACCTACATGTATACCTATTATTAAGGATATACAATATGAATTTAGGATGAAAGTATTAAATGAAAATAACATGTAGATTTCACCACAATAAATTGATTTCTCTAGGTTTCTCATATTTTTTCCTTGAAAAAATTCAAAGAAATAAATATTCTACCTCCTTAATTGGCCTACACAGAGGATTTGAAAATAAGTCAATAACAATAGTGAAGATCCAGTTGTAGGCAAAAAAAACTCACACATATCACATTTCAATCCTTCAGCCTGAGGTATTCTGTTGAGTTTGATAAGGGGAGTATTTCCAATTGCAGACAATACATTTGGCAATGTTTTTGAGGTTCTTCTCCTAAGAAAAATTGATACATTTCACATCACATGCCTATATGGCTCCATAATCAATACACTTACCATTCTTGAATACTATGTGGTGTGTTTTTACTAGCTGCATTCTTATGCCAAGTACAGATGGATTTTTTGTCTGGGACATTGAAATTATCATTCAATGGTGACCAAAAACTCAAGTTAGTTTTCAAACGTTTAGTGTTCTCCTGATTAGGTTCTAAATTCGTTTGCTTGATTATTCCACTCATAATTCTTGTTAATCAAGAATATAATCACAAAATCCTTGTTGCCTGTACAGTGTGCTCCCACTTAATAGTAAAAATAATGTAGTGATAGGTCGCACACACACGCGCTTCAGGAGATAAATGAAATTACGTCAATATGATGTGATTACTTTTGAGAAGTTGTTGATATCAATATCATTAAGGAAATTTCATAAATATAATAAATTATGTGCAACGTGCACGTTTTATTTTTGTTATGACAATTTGACATTTCATTTCAAATCTCAATTTTGATACTTTATGCCAGATAGACTAAGCAGCTAAGAGAGAAAGAGGCAAACGAATCTAAGACGAAAAAGAATGAAATAGGAAATAAGAAGAATATATCGAGCAAATAACCTAAACACCAAATCTGAAATCTAGCTACTGCCTTACCTAAAAAAAATTGTAAAAAGGTGGAAAACAAAAGTTATGGCAGTGCAATTATTAAATATTACGAAAACTTTTCAAAAATTGACCGTTTCTGCAAGATGTAACTTGGTACCAATAATTGTGAATCCATTGAAAGAAGAACTGTATAATAATAATGTAATAACCTACAGCTCAACTAGAAATACTAATTTCTTCAATAAATGCAAGTATATTGTAAATTATGACTCCTCAGGAATTGAAACTCTAGCTGAGTTCATTCATTCTGTACCTATTCTAATAATTTTAAAGCCAATAATTGATCATTTCAATCTTCATATTTCAGTGCCAGCTAAAGATTTATGGAAGGGTATCACTTCTGTCAGTAATGCTGGTAAAAAAAGAGGTCGTGGAAAGAATACATCAAAGTCCAAAATAAAGGACTTGAATCGAGGTCAAGTCATAGGTATAGGTAAAGCAAACATTGTGTGGCCAGGTCTCTCTGCACCAATAATCAGAGGAAAAGAGTTGGTGAGACAGGAACAACTACCAGAGGACCCAGAAAGGGAGAAGAAACTGATTCAGTTGAGGGATAAAATGGGTACATTCAAGCATCAGAAATTGAGTCCTATTGAAAGGGGTTGGTCAGGATCAAAAATGCCTGGAAGAAGTATTGGACCTCCAGATCCAGTTGGGGAAGGTATGGTATTTTCAATCAATTTAGTTGATTAATTTGATTGATAAAATGTGTTCTGCTTGTAGAAACATTTGAGGGATTTGATACCAAAGTACTTGAATTGAAAACAGTATTCAACATGAAAGGTAACTTTGGGAGGAAAAGGAGGCTTTCTGTACTTGTTGTTACTGGAAATGGAAATGGCTTAGGAGGTTTTGCAATGGGTAAAGCACTGGAAGCCAAAATTGCACTTCGCAAAGCAAAAAATCGATCTGGACAAAAACTGATGCATGTGAAGCTATTCAAGAATCACACAGTTTGTCATGACTTCTTTACACAATTTGCAAAAACAAAAATTTATGTCTCACAAAAACCTGAGGGGTATGGCCTTGTTTGCCATAGAGCTATAAAAACTATATGTGAAGTTGTTGGAATCAAAGATCTCTATGCAAAAATTGAAGGTTCCACTAATGTGAACAATATTATAAAAGCCTTTTTCCTTGGTCTAACCAGACAAAAATTACCTGAAGAAATGGCAGAAGAAAAGAAACTGCACTTAGTGCAGTTCTGTAAAGAAAGCAACAATTTCCCTAATGTTATTGCTTCCCCAAAGGAATGTAGGACAGCTGAAGATATTCCAAATGATGAAATCCTTGACTTCAAACAATACTGTTTTGAGGGAAAAGTTGTTCTGAATAAGAAGAAAAGACCACCATTCTATGCTGGCTATAAGTCCTATGAGTTATATTTGCAAAAGCAAGAAAAACTCAGGAATCAATCAAAAGTGAAAGAGAATTTGATTGCAGAATATGGACAAATCAAGAGCTTTTTAGCTGATAAGTATCCTGAATGTGTACAGTACAAGCCAGAAAGGAAAAATAAGGAAGAAGCTGATAATTAAATGATTCATGAATATATTTTATTAATGAACAGTTTCATAAGGTGTTTTGATTTTTTTTAAAATGAGGGCTAACATTTTCACTCTCACCAGTTGGCGCAACTTACTAAAACAAAAGGTCAATGTCAAGTCAAAAATCCCAAAATTTTTGCCGGATAGCCCTAATAGCTATGGCCTGTTCGAGTATCGAAAATATTCGAAAACAATTATGTAGAATATTTGAACAAATAGAAAACCTCAAGATATCGAAAGATGTGAGCCATCTTACGCTTTTTTACTCTCAATTATTTCAATCATTCTCTCAAACTGTAGAATTTTATGACCAATTCTTACATTGACGGAGAAGAAGATATCATAGCAAAAGGCCAAATGAAATGAAAATAAGAAGTATATTTATCAGTTCTACCAACCCTGTCTTCATGTTTCAGAGTTCGGTGGCGCGGTTTGGTGGACCAATGTCGGCTAAATATCTAAAGGCAATAAATAATGTTAGTTTAGCCCTTATTATTATTGACATAGAATATCCTGATCTACAGCTGCGTTGCAGACATCGTTCTGCAGGCATTTGCAATAAAATCACAGACCAGCTGGATTTAAACCAACCTTTATTTAAACATTAAACAAGCTATCTGTCCACTTGTACATCCATCCATCCATTCACTCCATAAAATTGGAGCATTGGGACTATTGGGAGCTTCCAAGGATTATAGGGAATGGAGTGAATGGACCCTATCGTCAATGTCTTTCTGGGACTTATTGTTGATTATCATTATGAGGAGAGTAAGATGAGGGGAGGATGGATTGAAAAAGATGTTGAATGGCAAAGAGCAAAAGAATATGGAGAATCAGAAATGACATGACAGTAGTGACATCCTTGTAGAAGCTTCAACCATAATAGTGTTGACTGTTGAATATAAACAACAATGTAAACATTACAATTTTGTTCAATGAAAATTATTTATTATTCTGAAAGAAACTCAACGTTTATTTTGGCCACACTAGTAGAATGGAGGACAACAAAGATTATGTTCTGATGGATATGTCATCTGAAAATGAACTTACTAGCCAAACGGAACTGATAAGTGTGTTGGTGATTTGCAGACTTTGTGCTAACCAGAATGACAAACTCATAGGCATATACAGTGAAGATGGCATCAATAATGATTTGGCAAACAAAATGAATCTCTATCTACCAATTAAAGTCTATGAGACTGATGACCTGCCCCTTCAGTGCTGTTGGCAATGTGCATCTACTGTTCTGGCTTGGCATGAGTTAGTGGTGGCTAGTGTAGAAGCTGACCGAAGACTGAGAAGCAGTCAATTTGTAACCACAAAAGAATTACAAGACAGTATCAATCAAGAAGTGGATGACAATGTACAGCAACATGAAAATGAGTAAGTATTTTCATATATTGTTATTGGGTTATGTCAAGTGGACTAAGGTGTTTTATGGATGATTCTTGCCACACTCTTTACTGTTTAAAACTCAAGTTTTGTCCACAGGGAAGAATTCAGGATTGAACCTAGAGAAACAGATCTGAAAGTGGTTTCTCAAAAGCAACCTGATTTGCTGTCCTCTAACTGTTCAGAATATCTGAATTTGGAATCACCATTTTCACAGGGAATTATCCAGGAACAAACAAAAATAGAGGATGTGGAAGACAATGAGATGTTTTTTGAAAGCTCTGACACTGTGGAAGACAAAGAACCTTTTCTCAAATGTGAATCAGATCAGACAATTACCCAAAATGAACAAGACATCATGACTCATATCAAAGAAGAACATCCTAAAGGCTCAAGCCTCTCAAAAAAGCCTAAAGCCAGCAAAATAGTGAAAAAGAATAAGCCAAAGAGGACAAAAATTGACCAAGAATTGTTGAACTCTGCAAAAGTAGTTGTAGAGGGAAAAATATATTACAATTGCAAAGAATGTGGCAGAAGCCTTCATTCCCCTTATACCTTCATGTGGCACATGCGCATACACACTGGGGAGAGGCCTCATACCTGTCAAACATGTGGTAAGTGCTTCAGAGTGTCCCAAGGCCTAGTGAGACACTTGAGGGAGACTCACCAAGGCATCAAAAACTTCTCCTGTGATCTGTGTGGCAGGCAGTTTGCTACAAGAAGAAATGTTCAAGAACATAGAAGAATACACACCAATGAAAGACCCTATGTATGTGATCTGTGTGGAAAATCATTCAAACAGAAAGCATCACTGTTTGTTCACAATAGATCCCACAGTGATTACTTTCCCTATGCCTGTAGTTATTGTAACCAGGCTTTCCGTACTAAGCCACCTCTGCTTATACACATTACTAAACACACTGGAGAGAAGCCCTATCCATGTGATATATGTGGCAGGCATTTCAGGATAAAATATGAGTTGAAGAGACATAGATCTGTACATTCTGAAGATAAACCTTTTTCCTGTGAATTTTGTGGTATGAGTTTTAAACAGAAGAGGTACTTGAAAAAGCACAAGATGAACCATGTGGGACAAGAAAGGATAGTAGTGGCACCACAAATGGTAGAAGTAGTTCTACCAAAAACTGGAAAGACTGAAATTTTTGCAGAATTTGTACCAACTGAAGGGCAATTTTTCACTAGCATTATAGAAAACCAGATATCATTCACACAGTGATTCTATTGATGTATAGTTGGAAGTTATTTAGAATAAACAAAAATTATTCAGGAGGAATATATTCAGAAAATGCTCAAGCTAAGGAACATTTTATTTTGTTATTGGATTTTTTTAAGAAATAACTGATGATCTGATCTTTTCAAAATATCAATGTTCATAGGTGCTCTTTATAATTATTATTATTTCTCAAATTCCAATTACTCTCAGTATAAATATGATATAGCCTGCTCCAATTTTTATGATATTTTTCAGCAAAATATGAATTTCACTGTAAAAATTGAAGTATGTGATTTTTTTATGGTCCAGTGTATTTATGATGTAGGTATATTGAATGATTTTGTCATTTCCCTTGTATTGAATTGAAGCAATTTTTTATATACTATGTGATTTTTATGTTAGGCAGCTCTAAACATTATTTCTATATCATGTACTTAAATACAATTTTGTAAAAATATTTCGTTTTTGGCTCTACAACATTTTGTTCCATCCAATTAGTGCTACTCACTTCCAGAGGAAAGTGCTGAACCAAATTAATTTTCTCAATTGAACAAAAAATTGCTTTTCCAAAAAGTTTTTTTGAAAGGGACTCCCTATTATGATCCTTACCGAGAATAAATCCTTAGGCAAAGAACTCCAAAGCGTTGCAGTTCTATATCGAGTTTTGGTAGAGAATTCATGAATGTCATAGAAGGATTGTCAGTTCTGACTAGGCTTGTTGTGTTCCTGATTATGAGGGTGAAAATCTCGGCATCTATATGCGTTTGAAAGAAAAAGAAAGTACTATTATTTTGTTTGTTTATTCATATCCGGAATAACATGCATATAATTTTTCGGTATTACCTAATTATTAACACGTTGGCGGACACCTATGTAAATAAGGTGTCTGGTCAAAACGGTCAAGGTCAAATAAATTGCACAACACACCACCATTCACCATGCTGCAGCTCTGGCATTTCAAGTTATGCTCGTTGGTCGATAAATATAAGATGTTCACCACACAATAAATTCGTTGATTTCTATTCCCTACCCTTCTTTAGGTCCATAGTAGGTATTCATGAATTACGAGTGATGCTTTCTGAATTACAAATTAAGCTTTATGAATTACAATTGACTATTCTGAATTACAAGTCACACGTTCTGAATTACAATCAACAATTGTGAATTACAAGTTACACTTTCTGAATGACAATTGAAAAAAGTTTAGAGTGACTAGGCTTGTTGTGCTTCTGATTTTAAGGATGAAAATCTCGGCATCAATGTGTTAAAAAAAATAAAGTACTCTTATTTTGTGTGTTTAATCATATCCGGAATAACGTGCATATAATTTTTCGGTATTAGCTAATTATCAAGAAAAATTTAAACTTATATTTTCCAGAAAATGTCAAGAACTCGAAGACCAGCAAGAAACTACGAAACCAGAAGACCAAGAACTGAACAATTCCTTAGTTACGAGAGAAAGTCTATCGAAGTTTTGCAACCTATGCGACAAACAGTTCCACTCAAAAACCGAATTGAAAAATCACATGCTGACCTGCCACAACCTGAAACAATCCAAATTCAGAAGGAAAAAATCGGACATCAACGCCCCATTCACTTGTCCAGCGTGCCCAAAGACATTCACAAGAAAATTCGACATGCACAAACACATCAAATCGAAACACCCCACTGAGGCTTCCACCGTCCAACCATCAATAAGAAGCCAAAACCTCCAAGTGGTAGAAAAATGTAAAGTCACCAGGAAAGACGGTGGCGCGTATTTCGCTTGTGATATTTGCCAGCAAGAGTTCAACGACAGCAGCCAGTTCACTAGGCACCGCAAGGCACATTTTGAGAGGAACACCCACATCTGCAAAGTATGCGGGAAAACCTTCAAATGTTCCGCACATCTCAAGCGGCACGTAGAGCACCTCCACAGGTAATACAGGCAATTTGTGCTCAAAAGGGCCCCTATACCGGGTATCAACGATTTTTTAAACAATCATGGTTTCCAGAGTTTTTAGTCAAATATCTTCATGATAAATGCAGTTTAACCTTTTTAAGTAGAGTGTTTGTAGTTCATGTTAATAAGATAGTTACAATTTGATCATTGGAATGAATTCTGCATTCATTGCCACCAGGCAAATGACTGTTTTCAGAAAGAAATTTGAGAATGAGAATTAAAAATGCCCGTTTATTATGAACATTCAAGAAAATTTCCTCGAATTCAGAGATGATTTTCTTGACTATATACAGGGTGTTATTTAAGTTCGTGGCCAAACTTGAAGGGGTGAATCTTTGAGTGATTCTAAGACGAAAAGTTCATATAAACATAGGTCCGGTAATGCTTCGTTTTCAAGATACAGGGTGTCAACATTTTTAAAAGAAATCGTTTTTTTCGTAAATATCTTAATAAACCCTTCAACCTATTTTATTGAAATTTGGCAGTGTTATTCAAGGTCGTGAAAGGCTAATTTAACCCTAACTATATCAAAATTATCATGTCCAGTGGCGTCCCGGAAGGCACTGTAACCAATATTTTTGACAGAAAAAATGGGCGTCACTGATTTGTTTGCAATGAAGTGATTTTTATGTTTTTTCTCAAAAACAAAGCAAGATACGAAAAAAATTCTAGATATAAAAAAGTTGTAATTTTAGTTGCTCAATGTGAAACAAATACAAAAATTGCAAAAAAATCAATGGCGCACATTTTTTCTGTCAAAAATATTGGTTACAGTGCCTTCCGGGACGCCACTGGACATGATAATTTTGATATAGTTAGGGTTAAATAAGCCCTTTACGACCTTGAATAACACTGCCAAATTTCAATGAAATCGGTTGAAGGGTTATTAAGATATTTACGAAAAAAACGATTTCTTTTATAACTTTTGACACCCTGTATCTTGAAAACGAAGCATTACCGGACCTATGTTTATATGAACTTTTCGTCTTAGAATCACTTAAAGAATCACCCCTTCAAGTTTGGCCACGTACTTAAATAACACCCTGTATAATATACGAATACAAAACTAACTGCACAATCAAAGCTTTTCTATTTTTCCTCTACTTATACTTTTTATGAGAGAGTAATTGTCTTCTATTTACTACTGAACTTAGATGGAGTAAAATCCTCGCGGTGAATTGCATATACCCACATTTTCGATAGCTCCTCGTCCAACGGGAAACTTAAAGCATGAACTCTTGAACCACCCACATAATTCCCCCGACAAAAGGGAACACAACACTTGAAAGGCATTGTTATTTCGCCGATCACAACACAAAATATTTCACAAAACAGTAATTTTTCCGCCAATTATTTTGATGAATAAACAACAAAAGAATTCGGGACCGTTTCAAAAACATACGTGAATCACCGATGAATTAACACGAACTGACGCGTTAGTCGACAAGCGATAAAATAAAACACTGGCCTCTCTTGGTGACGTCACGAACTGTTTACGTCAGAGTCTGCTGGCCTTGTTGTATCGGTGGTAACGGTTCGACGGGTTTATTTCAAACGATTATTAGGATATTCGCGTACGAAATTTCCATATGCTTGATGAGTGTGACAGAGAAAGAAGTTTCGATATTGCGCCGTCACTCCCTTTTGAGCGTATGGAAACTTCGTCGCACCTCACAATTTTGTCCCTGTTAAAATATGAATAACTTTTTTCTGCTTTGAAAAACTTGAATTCGGCTTACACTGTTCCCTAGCCCAGTCCTTCAGCTATAAATCTCGTACTTTTTAAAAACATGAGGTTCTTTATATAAAATCGCTACAGGGTGTCACCTGAAACTGTGAAAAATTTCGGAAATTTCAAACGGATCCCAAATGAACAAAAACATTTTTTTGTCAACTTCTGCAAAATTTTAAGTTCAGAAAAATCAAATTTTGTCTCACTTCTCATTCAAGCACCCCCTTATCTCATGTAATTATTGAGGTAGGGTTCTGAAATTTGCAGGAGGAAGCGAAAGGGACGTCCTGATTTTGAATCCGAAATGATTTTCAACCTATCTTGCCTCCTCATATGATTTTTGTGGGTGATTCCATGGCTGTTGGCGAGCAGTGTATATCACTGGAGACGACTCCACTTGGTTATAGTGTGTTCGAGAACTAAGGATAATGAGATCATCTACATGCCTCTACTGTCAGAGTTTAAAAAAGTTTTTCTTCATTTGGGATACTTTTTGAATTTTCGAATTTTGCAGTTTCAGATAACACCCTATAGATTTTATGTGAAGAGCCTTTTGTTTTGAAGAATTACGAGATTAGTGATTTGAAATAACCCTCTATCAAACCCGACATCGTTGAATTCGTTATAATAATCTATTACTGATTATGGAATGAAATACACATTAAATTAAAAGTTGGGGTCATTTATCATACCTTCAGAACTTTCAACTTTGGAACTATGGCTTGTCTAATGACTAACGTTGACACCCAGTAGAGAGGTAGTTTAGATTTCTGTCATTCAACATGTTATTTGGGGTGCTGAATCCGAATCTGACATTTGATGACAAAATTTCATTAGGCAACTTTGAAGAAAATCCAAAATTAGATGAAAAATATGCTATTCGTGAAAAAGAATGAAACTAAATTAAATTTCCTACAAACTGCATCCGTTTTTTTTCCTCGATGTACTCTGTGGGCTCAACCGCTAGTTGAATATTGGCTTATTTCGGCTGTCTGTCAAAAAACCCATTTTTCCACTCCATAAATTCTATTACCGTAGAATGGGGTGACTTGATAAGATTTTTGACACACTTCCATAGATTGCGACCTTACCATGCAACTTTCAACCAAACTAAAAATAGTCACCAACTCTTTCGACCCTAAAGAACAGAACGATACATTTAAACCGTTTCTATATAGTGTAGTTTTCGAAAAAAAAAATGTCAAACGTCATATTTCAAGTCACCCCAATATGGGGTGACTTGAAATATGACTTCTTATCAACGATTATTTCAAGTAGGATGGTCTAGGTGGTGACATGAAATGAAAATTAAATAAAAAATATATAGAAATCATCAATTTCATAAAAAAACACTGTGTTTTAGAACAAATATTTTTTAGCAAAATACAAAAAAGATAAAAAACTACAAAAATAAACAAAAAATCATTAGACTGAAAGACTAGTTTAGCTTCTTCCGTTGACATGCGACGTTGCCACTACTTCAAAATTTTCACTGCATTTTATTTCAAGTCACCACACGATTTCAAGTCACCCCATTCTACGGTAATTATTAAAGGCTCAGTGAATTTCTTCTAGTTTCAAGTTGAATACAATGTAGAATGGTTGCGACTGTGCGAAAAAAATACTATCATCGACCGACTTTGTGATATTATTATTTTTCTTTGAAAAATGTTGAAACATTTTGAGAAGAATGAATAATGGTTTCCACAACTTTTTTACATCTTATTCATTGCCTCTCTGTATTCTTTAAAGAATTTGGTAGAGAGGACACTGACAAAACATTATCAGACAATATATTTTTTTGCACGCAATGAGTGGTTGTGCATTGGGTTGTGATACCACTTCTTCAGGGAAAACTGAAAAAGTACTGCAGAATTCAACGATAATGATCCACTGCAATAGATCTCATAACAAAGAGATCCAGGATGAACAGAGTGAATAACTATGATCGTTGACCTTATGTTTACTACTGTTTTTTTTTTTAATCCGGTTTGGAAGTTAATGGGGGTGGGGGTTATCTCTTAATAGCAGATTTCAATCATTATATAATATCTGATATAATAATATGAAATATTTGTTCAAGACTTTTCGTTTGAATTTACTTTTTTGTACACTTCCGGACTTCATTATAAACATTGAACATTATGAAATTTGTGAAAAAATTACCTAGACGATTTCCAAATATACAATCTAAATAATAGTAGGAAACTAACTACTGGCAGCTGGTAATATTATTTTGTGGCTTTATTGGAGTGCTTTAGAATGGAAAAAGTGTGTGCAGAGACAGCCGAAAAAACGCAAAGGTAATAAAAAACTGGATGATAAAATTTATAGGAAATTTCAATTTCTATCATTTTAAATGAGAAAGTTATTCGGCAAAGTTGATATACCCGCCAGAGAATTATATTTTTCACCTTCTTTGGGATATTTTTCAAATTTTGCTTCACGAAATTTTGTTAGCAAATTTGATATTTCCTGGTAAAAAATACAATTCAACTGTATCAAGGGGCGTCAAAAACTTCACTTGCGCCATGAAATTTTGTTAGCAAATTCGATATTTCCTGGTAAAAATGCAATTCAACTGGATTAAGGGGCGTCAAAAACTTCACTTGCGCCATCTGCGACCTGAAATTCGCCACCAAATTCAGCCTGGAGGAGCACCTGAACATCCACACGGACAACAGGCCCTTCGTCTGCGAGATATGCGGCAAGGCTTTCAAGCAGAAATCCTCCCTCTACGTGCACAACCTCTATCACAACGACAACTTCCCGTTTTCCTGTGATTTGTGTCGGAAGAGGTTCAGGCGCAAGGGGGACCTGGTTGTTCACCAGAGGATACACACGGGGGACAAGCCGTACGGTTGCGCAGTGTGCGATAAGAGGTTCAGGTTGGGGCACGACATGAAGAGGCATCTGAAGATTCACGTGAAAAATAGGCAAACGTGATTCATTTCAGAACTGATGTAAGCTTTGAAAATGAGAGGGATGTAGAAAAGATTAGTAAGTTGACCAAC